ATTGGATCAGACTGAGCTGATCTTAATAAGATATAGAGAGGCTGAGCTTTAATGAAAAATTTGGAACCTAATTGAGACAGCATCCAATCAAACCCAGGAATCCTCTAAGCTATTTGTTTTTTGTTCTTGGAAGAGGAAAAGATATCATTTCTCCAAGTCTTTCAGGGTTAATTAGTAGCCTATTTTTAGATATTAGATAACCAAGGTATTTTATTTGGTGTAAACAGAATCAAAGCTTGCCCTTTGAACCCCTAGGTCTTTTATGACTGGCTATTGTAACAGGTGTGTTGTGTCCTCTTAGGAATCTGATATATCCTGGAGCATAAGAGCAAATCATCCACACATTGGATTAGAGTAGAATTTCTGGGAAATGTAACATGATTGAAATCAGCTTTGAGTATCTGAGAGCAATAGGTGGGACTCTCTGGTATACCCCTGGGGCGTTACTATCCAAGTAAACTCTGATCTTCCCAGGTGGAAAAGCAATTATAAGCCCCCCGTTTTAAAGGTCATCTTGTAATGAACTAAGTTTAGCTAGTGTCTCAGATATACACTCAAGGCAAATATAAGGTAGAGGCAAAGTATTCTCAACAGTTATTTAAATAGGAGTGGCCGGCTTAATCTTGTCAATCAATATCTGTACTGGAAAAAGCCTCAAGTTGTATTGGAACATCCTGTAACAAATCTTCAGTCTTAAAACTACTTTTCTCTCAGGTACTTTCTTTTAAAATCATTTTCCCCATCTGATTCATTTAGTCCTAAATACATTTCACCCTTCTGGGAGGATATGTGAGTATCATTGGTTAGAAAGTCTCACAGTATCAGGTGAGTTGGGGCAGATTTGAGTAGTAAAACTAGGTGTTGCCCCCTTAACATTTGCTAGTTGTAAGGGAACAGGTTCTGATTTATAAAGAGGTATCAGTTGATTAGATGTCCCTACCAATTGTACAGAAGCTTTACTCCAAGGAGGAGGGCCACTAAGTCATTGTAAACAGATAAAGGAGCCCCAGTGTTAGTAAGAAGGGGATGCCCTCCTGGTCCTTGCAGCAGCTCTAGGCTTGTTTTTATTTCTTTTCTTTTTCTAAATCCATTTCAGTTTTCTACAATTCTTAAAGTGACCTGACTTTTTACAATAAACGCACATTTCTTTATGTGAGTTTCCCTAGCAAAACTTATTTAGTAATTCTGTGGCTTTGCTCTCAGAAACCAGTAGGCATGTTAATTCGGATGAAATAGAAAAGCGAGGATCCTAAGTTCCTTCTAACAATTCAAATTCCTTTGTGAACTCATCAGGGCCCTAGGGAGGGTTGGGGGGAATCTTTAGATTTCTTAGTTCTGCCAGCATACCACCTCGGATTCCCCTCCACCCAAGACCAGCTCCTCGCCAGAGGGAGCTGCAACAGAGGTGCAGGGGAGAGAGACAGGGGAAAAGGAGAGCAAGTCCATACAAGTAAAGCACATATTGGGACAAAGAGGGAAAAGTGGCGTGTTGGCATTTAGCAGCTGCAGAACCTTTAGCACACAGACACTCTCCAAACATTTTCTTACTAACTTCCTGAGGGAAAAACATTTCTCTGTACCATTTCAGAGGCTTCTATTTGCCGATTGAGGTAAGCCTCCCATTCCATTTAGTTTGACTTTTTAAGCCGTTTTTTTCTAATTGTGCACACAAAAATTTAGATGGTAAAAGCGCTCCATTTAGGCTGGCCGAGTGGCACACTGGTTAAGAACTGGCTTGGGATGCCAGAGGGCCTCAGTTTGGATCCCACATATGAGGGCCAGTGACACTGCCCTCTACAGCTAAGTTGCTGAACAACAGCTCAACCTGGAGCTGGGCTGCGGTGAGTGGAAGGCGACGGCAGGTGGGTTGCCATGGGCTACCGTGTGTAGCCAGCAGCCACTGTCAGCGGCCATCCAGAAGTTGGCAACTGATCTGCCTCGCCCAGGAAGAGTGCAATGATGATACCGACATGGGCCAGTGAAGCGATGTCCTCCACAACTAGACTGAAGAAGAAAAGGTCAGCAACATTTGTGTTCCCCTTTCTCCAATTCCCCAATAAAAATCGTTAAAAAAAAACTTTCCATTTAGGCCATCTTAAGTTGATATCACTTCTACATACCTTTCCATGTCTGTAAGTACTTGTAAGGCTCCTAGGAACTGTACATCTGCAGGAGTAAACTGGGTCTGGAGTTTGGGAGCTTGTCTGCCTTTGAGGCACGATTTCTCATGTTAATTTTTAGTTTTTGAGACCTGCAGAGTCTGAACAAATACTGTGTAGTGGGTTGAAGTGTGCTGCTTATGGGTTGAGCTCCAAGGGGCTGTCACCTCCCGAGTCGCTTCAGCCCTCTTATGTGCCTCGGTTTCTCTCCCCAGCTGTCTAGTACAACCGTGAGAACATAAAGCGCTAGGTATCCAGCCTTTATGTGTGCATCCTGGTTGGAAATCCCTATGGGGCCGCTTCACGTTCTGAGGGGTTCCCTCAAACACCTCCACAAAGATCTTAGTCACCTAAGAATACCCGAAACTCGGGCTGGAGAGTGTAAATGCCCCTTATCTGCAGAGCTGAACAAGTTCAGACTCTCATTTATCCAGCAAAAAGTTTTGTTCACACTCGCAGTAAACAATTCCAATTGAGAAGCCAAAATAGAAACCAGCCACCCATTTTTCTCTTCTCTCCAAGAGTTACCTTAACTCTTGTCCTTAACCTGGGCTATCTCATCCCTGCCACCAAGAGTTACCCTAACTCTTGTCCTTAACTGAGGATTTAAAAACAGGTACCTCAAGGCTTTAAAAACAGCTCAAATAAAGTCATGGCCTCTTACCTTAAAACAGGAGGTCCAGAATTCCAAGAAAAACTCACCCAAGTTCACCCGATGGGAAGCAGGGAGCCGGTGGGGCACAATGGGCCCCTGCTGGTACCTAGCACCGATTCCACGTCTGCAGGGTGCTCCTGGGTGGGCTTCTTTGGAATCCTGCCGACTATGGCAAGTAATGTTGATGAAAAATATCCAGCCTAAGAGAAAACTTATGAGTTTATTTGAGCCAAACTGACGACAATTGCCGGAGAGCAAAATCTCAACGGATTGAGAAAATGTTCTTGCAAAAGGCTGTTTTGCATCTTATTTTATACATTAGAATCAAAGGAGGAAGGTTACATGAAATCCATCATTTGTAGATTAAGGGGGTGGGAGAAAGCAAAGCTGGGAAATCTTTGGGACTGGATGAAAAGTAAAATGGAGAGACACACACATCTTTTCCATTGGTGGGTACAGGATAGTTAATAGCATTTTACAGCACATAGAGATAGTATTTGGGGAACACGATAACAATGGAGGATTTTGTAGTTTCCTGCTCTGGTGTGGTGGGTTGGGCCCCCTGGGGGGTTCGGAAAAAGAGATTACTCTGATATTGTAAGGGTATGTTATCTTAGATGCAAACAGACACTCTTAAGGTAAAGATTGACATTTGTCAATGAAGCTACAGGTCAAGGATGAGACTTCCCTCCATGGCCCACCTTTGTTAGGGATTTTTATGTTCACGCCATCCTATGTGGTTATTTCAGTCTCCTGAGCTTGTCAGGTTTAAATGTGGCCCCTTTTCTGTTCACAAGGCAAATGAGGGCATTGAGGATGAGAAGGAAACTCACTGAGTTGCAGACAAAAACCTATTTTATAATGCAGCTTTGAGGAAGGGTCCCCAGCAGGCAATCTAATGACAACTACTTAAAGCCAGCACTTTAACACCCAAATCAGGAAAAGCAAAGGAAGAAAATTCTACACCAAATCACCCAGACTTGTCACCCTGGTTGGTTCAATGTTTCTTTCCTCTATTTTTTACTTTCCTGATATAAAAAAATAAATGCATTTAATGCAATACACTACTTTCGAAATAGCAGCTAAGACATTAAAACAAACAAACAAATAAACAAACAACAACAACAGCAAAAGATTGTTTTTAGGATAGCTGAAGTGTAAGGCGTGGAATGTTCCTTCATGTTCCGATGTTCTGAGGAGGGAGTTCCAAGAACTTGGCTTGTGGGGACAACAGGGCCTCTCTCCTTCATAATGGAATCTGGTTGAGAAGGTTTCAATGACATTCTTTTTCTATGCAAATGAACAAGGATCTTATCCAGCCATTGCTGACCAGGTGGGAGAGGAAAACAGCAGAGAAGCAACGGAAGGTGAGTTGATATAGAACATACAACATACCCTTGTAAAAAATAATATAAATGGAGCCACTTTAACTGCCATTCCAGAGGCATGTTTATGCCTTGAACATTTGGAATGTTAAAATAGGGCAAAATAACCCTTGAACTGACCTAAGCAAACTTGTTTCCCCCACAAAACTGTTTACACAGATAAGAAGACAGTTATTATGACTGCTGGGCTGACACCAAATTAAACACATTGTTGAGAATTAACACCTCTATGTTATGTTATCTGCACCAATAGAAATGCCTTCCTTGTCCAGATACACGAGTAATTGGTCCCCTCCCCCATCATAAATACCTTTGACTCCTAATTGGAACATTATTTGGGCTTCTGCCTGAAATAATGATTCTAGAATAGGTGTCCTTATTCATGTCAAATAAATGCTTCTTTGCCTCTCACTTTGAAAGGCTTTTTATTTTCAGGTTAACACCCTTCACTTCAGGGACCCTACTGTCTAATCATCAGCACTCGATTTGGATACAGGGCCCAGCATGAAACAATACATGTTTCATATGGACTATGCAGGAGAGCTGAATGGGAACTGAAGAAATGAAGTGACTGAGTTAGCACCATCGTGAAGTAATGAGTGGCAATAAAGAAACAGAGCAGAACGGAGGAGAGGGGACACACTGACCTTCCCAGTACTCACTCGCTGACAGTGCCCTCAGGACCCAGCTGGCCCTCCAGTGAGTCTTCAGGCGTTTCCTCTGCCACCCTGCCCTCCCCCACCCTGACCCCCGTATTCCACTCAGAGGCCCCAGGGCTTAGCTTGTCTTCTTTGTCCTCACCTGCAGCATAGGATCCTGCTTCTCCAGGCCTGGCTGAGGGCTTGGGAAGAGCTCCTCATGGCTCCCAAGGAAAATGAGTTCCCGAGCCTTTCTTCCTGCAAGAGTTTTGGTAAAAACAAAAACGCCAATCACGGGAAAGCTACAGAGGGTTCCCATGCACCATGGGGGGCAGATGCAGACCCAGGCTCCGAATCAGTCCCCTGGCTTCTTCATCCTGACTCCCTCCACACAGCTGCGAGAACTTGGCAAGTTACATAAGTTCCCTGGCTTAGCTCAGGCCACCGTAACAGATACCACAGGCTGGGGGGCTTAAACAATAGGAACGTATTTTCTCATAGTTCCAGAGGCTACGCGTCCAGATGAAGGTGACGGCAGTTCAGTTCCTGGCCAGGCCTCTCTCCTGCAGATTTCCGCCCTCCCACTGTGTTCTCACATGGCTTTTCCTCCGTGCCGGTGCAGGCAGAGACAGATCACTCTCGTGTTTCCTCTCTCTTCTAAGGACACCAGGCCCATATGATTATGGCTGCACCCCTACGACCTCATTAAACCCAATTACCTCCCAAACCCCATCTCCAAATAGTCACACTGGGGCTTAGAGTGTCAACATATGAATGTTAGGGGCACAATTCAATCCCTAACGCTCCCTGTGGCTCAGTGTCTCATCTGTACAATGGAAAGGCCGTCTTCCCAGCACAGGGACCTCTAGGATCATCAAGGGAGAAACAGAAGGCATGGCCAGGCCTGTCCAGGGCAGCACCATTATCTCCAAGAGTACTTGATACCATTTGGACGTCCAGGGCCACCGGACACCGCATGTCCTCAGGAACATCCATGCAAACGTCACACATGCGCTGGCTTCCTTAACACCCTCCCGTAAACCGTGGTGCCCACCAGCCCCAGTTAAATCTCCCCCATCCTTCCAGCCCCACCCAAGGGGGAGAGCACAGCCTCACCTTCTTCTTCAGGGTCTCATAAAGCCGGGTGAGCTCTCTCAGCTTTTGTTCCTGTTCCAAGGCATTGGCCCTCAGCTTTCCGGCCAACTCTGACTTTGCTCCCTCTTTCAGTTGTTTGTAGTCAACCATGAGAGAGCCCAACTCCTTGCTGAGGCTGAGGCCAGCCATCGCAGTATTCATCAAGCGAGTACCTGTCTTCATCGCCAACGTTGTACCCTGAAAGGCTTTTTGCACCTGTTTGTCCCTGCGGGACGAGACTTGGCCAGAGGTCAGGCGACGCTTGGCAGCGTTGGCCAGGCGTGGGTGGTCTTTGGCTATCATCAAGGCATCTATGTTCTTCATGATATCCTTGAAGTTCTTTTCTAATTTATTGGCATGCTGATCATAGGATGCCGGGTCTACAGCCTGGCTGACCTCTTGGTCATGGGTGGACACTTGGCCGCTGACCTGAGCTTGGAATCTTTTATTGTGATCTTTTTCCGTGATGTTGGTCACTATGCTGGCAGCACTGGCTACTGTCTCCAATCCTGTACCAGCAGCAGAAAGTATCAGGCTTCCTCTTGCTGTCACTGGAGCGAGGAGTAAACCCAGGGTGGACATCACACTTGAGGCGACAGCGACGGAGCCGGTCACCACCTTGGTCTTGGTGACTGTTTCCTGGATTCTGTCGAATTCGTCTGCAAGGGCATGGGCCTTTCTGATGTCCTCTTCCATCTCCCTTTTAATGATGGGAAACTCTTGCAAAAATTTTCTTTCTTCAGGTGACAGGTCCGTATCGTCTTGCTCCACATCATCACACAGAAGAATGTCATCCTCGTCCCTGGGGATGAGCGAAATGAGGATTTTTGCTTCCATCGTCCAGATGGGAAAGCCTAATTCTTAGGCCCATCTGGTTTGCGGATGATCTCGCTCCTCCCAGCTTTGAACCCTGCCTGCATCTCCCTAACACCTCCATCATCTCTGACCTGACCTTGAAATGTCCCAGAACGTTGTTGTGAGATCTGGCTCCATGAAGAGGAGAAACACAAAAGAAATACATCTGGAGGAGAAATGGGAGAATCGCAGCCTTGGCCAAAGAGATGGAGAAAGTGGCCAGTCCTGAGGGACATTTTCAGCCTTGTTCAGAGAGACTGAAAGTGTCACCGAGAGGACACAGTGGGGAAATGCTAAGATCCAGTGGGACTAATGGAGGAAGAAGTTCAGGCAAAGCAGGAGAAAGGGGAACGCAGGTGTTGGGTGGGAGGTTGAGAGCTCTGTGTATGTAGAGGTGAGTCAGGGGGAGGAGGCTCTGTACTGTATAACGCATCCTGCACTTCGATGACCTTGAGTTTGGCTGCTATGGTGTGTCTTTGCTTTTATCAGGAGTTGCACACTGAGAGGCCCAGATAAGTGCTAAGGAATGTTCTGAATGTTCTCCTTGGCACTTGGCCAGCTTTATTTGACCCTTCAAGCAGATGGAATTGGTTTGTGGAAGAAGTCAGGGATATAGGGGCCTGGCCCCTCCTCCCCCAATTTCTCAAAGTAGGAAGGGATCTTGGCCAGTCCAACGAGTGTGTCCTTCATGGGACGCAGTATCAGGGGAAGAGCAAAGCCTGTTCCTTCAGGCACTTTCCTCATCCAAGTGCCACTGGCCCATTTCTTTCAGAGCCAGATCAGGAGGCCTCGTGATGACACGGGTTCCCTGGCTCATGGAGAGGATCAGAGTGGGAAGGGACCCTGGACAGGATCGGAGCTGCCTCCTTTACTTCTCAGTGGAGGGAACAGAAGCTCAGAGACAAAAGGGGACGGACTTGCCCAAAGGGATGCATTGGGTAGAGATGGAGCTTTGAGTGGGGTGCAGAGTTCCAAGAGCATCAGGATTTTCAGCTATTTCGCTGTGGCAGGAATTCCCAACAGAGGTTACATAGCTTTGAGTAGATTTTCTCTCTCTCTCTCTCTCTCTCTCTCCATCTATATATATATATATATATATATATATATATATATATATACACACACACACATATATATTTGTATATATATGTATATATATATATACACACACACATACATATAGATATAGATATATTCACACACAGACACACGTGCGCACACACACATCCTCAATGAAAAAGGTTAAAAATCAGGTATACTACCAAGAAAACCATTCACTGTGAATGGTTTAAATGAATTAATGCATTTAAGCCCAATTATCAGTGTTCATCAGTTGTAAATGAATTTACAAAGCAGAAGGTTGCTAGGGGCTTGCAGGATAAAAGAGAAGAGGGTGACCCTGCTGAAAAACCCCAAACTTTACAGATGCCACCATCCAGCCCACCCTGATCCCTGTGTGCCCTCAGGTGGGCAGGGACAGAGAGAAATAAGACATAGATACGCGGCCGCAAACATGGACAACACCACTTCGCGTTAACTCTACAGCGTCGTCTTTCACATGATTGTTAGCCAATGTCAGCTTGACTCCTTATGTTTTTGAATTAAACCAAATGCCTGGAATATGGACACTTTGGCCGTAGCACATTGTCCTGTATTAGGCAGTGATACCTACTGACACAGTGTCAAATTGCAACCTGGATCTATGAGGCTCAATACACACGGTTCACCTCATTCACTCGCGGACATTTGCGGATGGTCCACATTGTGCTGGAGGCCAGTGATGCCACGTCAGCTGACTAATACTTAACTGGGCTTGGTGACAGGTGAGCCAACATACTGAGCTCCTATCTCTAGGGGCTCACAGAGGTGAGGCCACCGAGTGGGACAACTGATGCCCTTAGAGTCCCATTGCCCAATGGCATGTACATGACTAGATATTGACTTGCTCTCCAAAATATTTAGTTTACCCGGCAGACTATTTTTTTCCCTGGGAGGATATATCTTCCTATGTGTAGTGGTGACCAGTGGGAAGGCAGGGCCCGTGTTATGACTAATATTGGAGCACATTTATTCCATGTCATGAGGATGTCTGGAGCATTTCAGCAGAAAAAAATCTTTCCCCAGGGACAAATCCCTCTGGGTTACCTTTGCAGACCAAACCCAGCCTTGCATTCTTTCCATGCCTGATTCTGCAGAAGCCTCTGTCGCACCACACCTGTGCTCATTTTGTCCATGGGAGAATCAGAGGTGTCCCCAGGAGTCAAATGATTTTCTGGTAGAAAACATGGAAAACAAAATCACTGCAGATGCCACAAAACCTTCTGAAATTCAAATGTGGGGAAATTTTAGATTATGTGCAATCAAATTAATAATGAGACACTTACAGTGTGCTATTTGCAAACTCTTTACATTTTATATTGAGGTATAACTTATATAAGTACAGAAATCGAAGTCCTCAGATCAATAAATGTTGGTATTATGTATATATCTGAGTAATTGCCCCCCAGATCACGGTAGAGGTTAGGTTTCTTATGACCACCCCCAATCAATACTCACCCCGCCCCAGAAGTAACCACTCTTATGAACAGTTTGCCTATTCTTTCTTTATAATTAAGGTTTTTTTTAGTTGGGGAACAGTGTGTTTTCCAGGACCCATCAGCTCCAAGTCAGGTAGTTGTCTTCAATCTAGCTGTGGAGGGTGCATCTCAGTGGCCCATGTGGGGATCGAACCGGCAATCTTGGTGTTATGACACCTGCACTCTAACCAACTGAGCTAGGCTGCCCCTAGTTTGCCTATTCTCGAACTTCATATAGACATTCGTTTGACTTCTTTCACTCAATAGAATGTCTGTGAAATTCACTCATGGTGTTGTGGGCACCGGCAGATTTTTTAAATGATTGTTATGAAGCATTTCATTATATAAATACACTACCATTTGTTTATCTATTCTTCTATCAATTGGTATGTTTGAGTTGTTTCCAGCCACTGGCTATGATGAACAACTTGATTGTAATGATGAAAACATCATCATCACGGGACAAAGCAACAATGTATAAGGCCCCTTTGTACAAATTATATGCCCAAGGACATAAGAACACTATTAAGAGGACTGCCAAAGGCCCGTTCTGAGCATGCAGGTGGGGTCTGAAACCCATCCCAGAATCCACTTGCCAAGTGGTGAGACCTGGAGGCTGGGGATGGAAGGAGCTGCTGTGTCTGTCTGGAGAAAGGGACACTGTGATGATGATTGATAGACTGATTGATGGATTGATTGATTGATTGATTGGATGCATAAAGTTGCCATCCATTTGTAGAGCTATGTGTCACAGAGCTCGGTCCACTTGTGGGTGGGCTTTATCAAATAAGTCTTAAGGCACCATAGGGGCTGGCATTGGTCCTGATCTAACCTGTATGTTTAAATGATCACTCAGGCTGGAAAACAGGCACCAGGTTTGCAAGAGAGGAAACAGGCAGACCAATTAGGAAGAGATTGCAGTAGTCAAAGCAAGAGGTGACAGCTGCTTGAGCCAGGTGGGTAGAAATGTGAGGAATGGTTGCATTTAAGGAATCCACAGGATTTTCCAGTGCCTGTGAGATGGGAGAGAGCTGAGTTGAGGATGACTTCAGGCTGAGTCAGGTTTGGGGTCTGAAGGACCGTTACCGTGAAGGTTCCATCTACTGAGATGGGAAGGGTGGAAGGTTTCCTGGGTGGGTAATAGGGTTCAATTTGGGCAGGTTAAGTTTGAGCTATCCAAGTGATGTTGAATAAACAGGCAGTGAATAGATGAGTCTTGTTCTGAGTGGGAGATTAAATTTGGGGGCCGTCAGAGTAAAAAGTAGTTAAAGCCACGAAATTCCATGCAAATCCTAGGGACACAGTAATTACACAGGCCAAGGGTGGTCCAAGATCCAGCCCTGGTGCACTCCAACTGGTAAGCCAGGAAGAAGAAAAGACAGCAAGAGACAGACAAAGGGCAGCTGGTTACATACAGGAGAGCTAGCAAAGACATTTTGGAACCCAGGTCAAATGCTTGTGTGTGATCGCCATGCCTCTGTGTATCCTTCTGTCTTTACAGGTTCTGGGTCCTTCCGCTTTCCCTCTTTCTCTGACAAAGCCATCCTGGACTCTGCTTCACCCTCCAGTGCAAACGGCTGGGGGGGAGGAGCTCACCTTGGCAGATTTGAGATGTCTCTGATGTTGTAACGTTCAAAGAGGTGTCTCTGCTCTTTTCTATACTCAGAATGACAGGGAGTCTGGCAGAGAGGAGATGTTTTACCTGCTGGAGAAAACTGACCTCAGAAGTAGTGTAGAGGCCGTGGAGGCAAGTGGATACAAAGGCCCCTCTGACACTTACCAGCTCTGGGATTTCAAGAAAATTCATTCACAGTTTTTTTTTCCATCTATACTTGTGAAGTAGTGAGTAAAATGCCTATCTCAACTTATGTTACAGAACACTAATTTCTGCATTTTTCATGATTACGAACAGGATAAAATTCTCTATTAAACGGAAAAGACTCTCACATTGGGTCAGAAAGCACAACATAGCTATATACACATCTTACAAGAGGTACGTCTGAAACACAGAGACTCAGAGAAGCTAAAAATGAAAGGATGAACAAAGTTACAGCTGGCCAGGGAGGTGCTGTGTCTACAAAAGGAAGCCCGAGGGGTCGCTGTGATGGACCCATTCTGTATCTTCATTGTAGAAATAATCACACAGATCTACACGTGTGAAAGATTGCATAGAACTATTTACACACACACACACACACATACACAAGTGTGAGTAAAGCTGCTGAAATCTGAAATCTGAATAAGGTCGGTGGTTTGTGTCTAAGACAATCTCCTGGTTGTGATATTACACTAGAGCTTTGTAAAATATTTCTGGTGGGGAAATTGGATAAGGGAGTACATGAGATATCTCTGTATATTTCTTACCACTGCATGTGAATCTATAATTATCTCAAAATTGAAACTTAAAAAAAAATACCATACACCTTAGAAGGGCCCAAATCCAGAACACTGACATCACCAAGTGCCGGTGAGGATGTGGAGCAACAGGAACACTCATTTCATTGCTGCCGGGAACTCAAAATGGTGCAGACCCTTGGGAGGGGGGTGTATCCATGTCTTACAAAACTAAAAATACTCTGACCATATGATCCAGCAATATTGCTCCTTGATATTTACCCAAAGGAGCTGAAAAATTATGTCCACACGTAACCTGCACAGGGATGTTTGTAGCAACTTTATTCATAAAGTACCA